TATGACTAAATGGGACTATTTATTTTTATTTATTTATTTTTTTAATTTTATTGTGATTTGGGTAAAAGTTTACAGAGCAAATTCATCTTCCATACAGCAGTTCACATACACTTCGTCTCATGACATTGACTGCAATCTCCCACAGTGCAACAGCTCTCCTCTAAATGGGACTATTTCTTGTATCAATAACTTTGAAATAGGCTCCCTTATTTCTATTTCTACCTTAAAACGTATTACAGACTACTATTTAACCAAAAACCAAACATGCTGTTGTTGAGTCAATTCCCACTCATAGCAACCCCTCCTTGGGTTAAGTTATCTTAATTGTTATTTGTATGTATTCCATAAGGGAATCTAGAACATTCAAGTATTTCAAGACAGATACCAAACAGACACTATCTTCCCCAAGGTAAACATACGAATTCCTTAAACCATTCTTCATTTGCTGTACTGTCTAACCAACACCTCCTTGTTCCCTACCCAGTCATATTTTACAGTTATTTGCCACTCACTTCTATTCTTTGTGTGCCCAATGCCTAGCAGAGTCTCTGAACAGAAAAGGCACTTTCCTGAAGCAGTAGTGTATCTCTTAAAAGATAGAAACAAGAAACAAACACATTCCTCCAAATCACTGTTTTTCAAACTGTGGGACATAATCCATTAGTAATTTTATCACCAGATACAATAGGTCAAGAGCAACATTTTTGAAAAATGACATGGAATAGAATAAATAAAATAGAAAATATCCTTACTACATGCCAGGACATTAATAAGGACTAGTTATAAAATTTCCATTTCATTTTGAGTGCTTAAAGTGTTTTTATTACTAAGGGAGTGTAGTCAAAAACTTTCAAAGCCACTCCTCCAGATCACATTTCAACAGTTTTTCTTCCCTGATAAGCAAACACACCATGCTTTCTATTAACTCATTTAGTATACAACAAAATATTGTCATCTGACACCACAAACATTTGTGGTATGGCTGCCCTACATGTTTACTTTTATGATCCCGAGAAGTCTCTCATGCATCAGGCAGTAGGTCTGAACCAAATTTGGCTTCTGCTGTACTTTTTTTTTTTTTTCAAAGAATGTGGATGTTTTTAAGCATAGCACACATGCCCCCAGAATGTCACAGTCCCTACTTGTCAAATTATATTATACCACCACCATCTCACACATTTATCTGCCTGGACCCTAAAAGCCTGGGCTTTGCCATATATGATAGAGGAATGGTAGAAACAGCCTATCAAGAAACTAAAGGTAAGATATGTAAGTAACTATACGTCACTTCAGGATTAACCAAAGGTCCTATATAAAAAAAATACCTGGGAATATATATTGCCCAGACACCATAGTAAGAAGCTTCTCTTGTTCTTCCATGAGTCTTTGTAGTTGCTCTAACTGTTGCCTCTTCAGTTGTTCCTGCTTCTTCTGTTGTACTTCTTTCAGCTTTTTAAACATAAAATTAACTATATTAATACTACATTTATCCACAGACTGTCACTCTTTACATTTATCTTTACCCCTCCCACCCTTTTCTTCTCTAATAAAGAGTTTCAAAGAGGGATTCTAAGTAATTAAATCTGCTACCAAAAATACAAAATCCAGTATCTTACCAAGGAAACCATACAATTACCTCAACTAAAAATAAAAATAGCCACATCAATCCTTTGATTCATAAAGAAGAGTAACCAACAATAGGTTTATGATCATCAGCTTTTCTCCCCTATTATTTGATCAATCATTTCTAATTTCATTTTTATCAAATGAACTAGCAAATTAAAGATATTAAGTATTATGTGTATATATTACATATTAAAAACATTTTAATGTTTCACATTGTTGTTGTTGTTATGTGCCATCGAGTCAGCCCTGACTCTTAGCTTAGATAAAGGAAAAAATTAGGGTTTTTTTTTTTAGTATTTCAGAGTGAGGAAGAAGAAACAGGATGACCCAGAGCAGGTGGCTTTTTAACAGAAACCAAAAGCTGCAATAACACAAATATGTATCCGGTAAACCTGCTCTACCTGTTCAAGTTTTTTAAAAAGTGGGTCTTTGTAAGCCTCTTCTTTGAATTCACTTGCAATATCTGGAATAAAGTCATTTTTGTCATCTTCGCAGTGTCCAGGAACATCCACAATTTGTGGTCCCTTCTTAGTTAAAGAAAAGATAGTACATGTTTTGGATTTATCTGATTGTAGTTTATAAAAGCTGTTAGACTCCAATTTCTGATCTTCATGAAGTGAATCTTCTTCACTTACAAAGCTGAAGCTATCTGAAAACTGCATGGTTTTAATAGGAAAACTGGTAGAAAGGTTCACAGCTGCTTGATTTTCTCCTTCTGCTTCCGAAATAAATTCACGGTTTAATATGACCCCAGCCCGAGAAGGATTGGTCATCCCTTGGGTCAAGAAATTTTGCCCATTGTCTGATTCCGAAGAGGTTGGTGTCGGGAACATTTTAGCACTGTTATGTTAAAGTACTGCAAAAAGTAGAAGAACTATTGATTTCCAACACCTGTAGACAGAAGATAGCCAAGAAAAAATATTAGTTAAAGCTATTAGATATTCTACCCCAAACTAGCGCAAACCTCAATCCACCATGAAAATATAATAAATACTTCATATACAAAAGATGCTAAGTAACAAAGCAAATGGCCATTAAGCTATGTATCTTTTTAAAAATCTTAAATATCCAAATTCAGTGGCTCAAATAACCTAAGATCCACCAAACAACAGTTTAGTGTAACTAGTAAAAAATGTCTGCCTTTCACATTACGTCCTTTTAAGAACTATGTATACATGAGATCAAAATGATCCCAAATAGCAACAGCAACTTGAAAGATTACATAGTACTCTTAAGGAGCAGTGAATACATGTTAATGGGAGAGGAACAACTCAGAAAATGAAGGTGATAATGGTTGCACAATTTGAAGAATGTAATCAATGTCACCAAATGGTACATGGAGAAACTGTTGAATTGGCCTATGTTTTGCTGTCTGTTAGGAATCCTGGTAGTTCATTGGTTAAATAGTTTCACTGCTAACTGATTGGTCAGCAGTTCAAACCCATCAGCTGTTCTGTGGGAGAAAGATGTGCAGTCTGCTTCCCTAAAGATGTACAGCCTTGGAAACCCTAAAGAGCAGTTCCACTTTGTCCTCTAGGGTCAATATGAGTCATAATCAATTCTATGGCAGTGGTTTGGCTTGGTTTTTCCTGTGTATATTCTCAATAACAGCAAAATAAAATAAAATTCTTTAAATGATCATAACCTAAGAAAACTTCTAATCCCATCATTCAATTAATGATGGCTTTATACAAATGATAAATCAGTTAACCTAAAACTATGGGAGCGAAAACACAGTCTGTTATTTAATTCCCCTCCTCTAAAAAATAAAATAAAATAATAGCATCAATATCAATTATTATTCATTTTCATGCTTTAGTCCCTAACCTGGCATTGCTTCTTTGCCCAGCTGAGGAACGCATGGTCTCCATAGTTCCAAAACAAAAGTCACCCCCCCCCCACTATGGGGTTCCCAATTTCAAGGGTAATAGAAAGTGTTCTTTATTTTTTTCTAGGTCATGATTACACTGGTATAACAAATTTGGGCAGTACACTTAAGATTAGTCCTCTTTACTGAAAATATGTTATTCCTGAATTATTTTTTAAATCTGTTTTTAGGAAATTAATTCTAATTATTTTTGTACTGAAGTCTATAAAAAAAGATAACAGATTCTCACCAAAATCTACCAGGTAATCTTGGTTAAATTTCAATAACCTTGGCAGGAAACCTTCTGAAATCCAAATTTAGGAAAGAGACAAGCTACAAGGTCATTTTATAACATCAAAAACTACAAGAATTTTCCCTTTAAGATCAGGAACAAGCCAACGATGCCGACTCTCTCATTGTTCTTCAATACTGTACTGGAAGTCCTAGCCAGAGCAATTAGGCCAAGAGAAAGATATAAGACAAATCTAAATCAGAAAGAAAGAAGTAAACTATTAACAATTCACAGATGACATGATTCCACACATAGGAAATTCCAAAGAATCCACAAAAAAAGCTACTAGAGCTAATAAATGAATTTAACAGCGGCAAGGTACAAACAAAACAAACACAAGAAAAATTTGTTAGCAACTAGCAATCTGAAAATGACATTAACAACTCCATTTACAAGAATATCTAAAATAATAAAATAGGAGTTCAGCAAGATGGCGGACTAGGCAGAAGGACTGCACAGATGCTCTTCAACAAAGAAAAGGGAAACCAATTAACACAGACACAGAAGATAATCTTGGACCCCTGAGCCTTGAAGGGAAGGATACAAAAGTGGACTAAAC